AAATGCTAAATGCGATACTTTCTGTCTGCATAGCTTCTTTTTTTTTTTTTTTTTGATTGTTGTTTTGTGTTTTGAGGCAGGCTCTTGCTGTGTAGTTCAGGCTGGCTATGAACTCCCTACATAGCCCTGGCTAGCATCCAACTCTTGGTAATCCTCCTGCCTCAGCCTCCTCGAGTGCTGGGATTACAAACCTGCACCACCATGCCCAGCCTCCTGTGGTTTTTAAATACTCAAATTTACTGCATACTAAATCTCATCCTACAAAATCTTTCCTCAGTATTATTTCTCCCTAGAAAACAGGTTATACACAGAACCAATATTCATCTATCCTAGATCCAAATTGTAGGATCTTAGCTGGGCGTGGTGGCACATGCCTATAACCCCAGCACTCGAGGCTGAGGCAGAGAGGAATGCAGATTTGAGGCCAGCCTGAGCTACATAGTGAGTTTAAGGACAGCTTGAACTAGCTACATAGAGACCCTGTCTCAAAAAAACCAAAACAAAATAAAACCAAATTGCAGGATCTCCATCTATTAAGGCCTGAAATGAAACCCTTTCTAGTTTTTTTTTTAAAGCTTTTCACTCCTTTTCCATACTTTCACCAAAAAAGAGGGAATAACATAGAACATTTTGAATATTTCTTTCAGTGGTGAACTGTTTGTAATGAAAACCTGTTATCAATATTATCGTTTTTACACCAAAATCTAATGAGTTTGGAGCAAAGAACTAAATTAAGAAATTTTGGCCAAGTGTGGTTGTGCACACCTATAATCACAACATGGGAGACTGAGGCAGGAGGATCCCCATGAGTTTGAGGTCAGCCTTGGCAACAGTGAGAGACTGTCCCAAAAGAAAGAAAGAAAGAAAGAAAGAAAGAAAGAAAGAGGGGGGAGGAGGAGGGGGAGGGGAGGGAGAGGGAGAGGGAGAGGGAGAGGGAGAGGGAGAGGGAGAGGGAAAGAGAGAAAGAGAAAGAGAGAAGGAGAAAAAGGGGGGGGGGCGGAATTTACCCAGGGCCTTCACTGAGCTACATCCCCAGTCTTTTTTTTAATTTTGAGACAGGTCACTAAATATGCCCGGGCTGGGCTTGTACTTGGGGTCTTCCTGCCTCAGCCTTCCAGAGTGCTAGGATTATAGGTGTGTTCCAATGTACCTGGCTCCTAAGGATTTAGTATCCAACCAGAAAGTAAAATTAAAATTTCAAGTAGAGCTTATGTATTTTAAAGCATATATAGTAACATCTTACTTACATCATGTAACCAAGGATGGGAGAATGTAGAAATTCACTCCCTTTACAATGAGTCTTAGGCTAAAAATCCTTGCAAAACTTAACATGGAATTCTTTCCTAAACATAGCATCTTGAATAGAGTGGTTTACTCAAAAAGTCTCCTTTGGGCACCTAGGCTATTTCTGTTTTCACTCTCTTTATGGGAGTGTTTCAAACTGTCAGCCAGTGGTAGGAAGAATAGGGTACCTGGGGCTCCAGTCGGAGGGATACTTGAGCTAAGTGTATGCACTGCTCAAAGACTTTTCTTTGTAGAATGACTAACTTTCCATATTGTTCTAGAAAGCTGAGGCTGAAAACTGGTGTAAATCTTCATTACAGAATTAAGGGAGATGGCTAGTGTGTAGCTCAGCGGTAGGGCACTTGCCTAGCGTGCCTGAGCCCATGAGTAAGGGAGGAGAGGAGAGAGTAAGGCCTATAAGCATAAAGCCTATAAGCTGTTTGCATAAAATACTACCTTGATTCATAAGGGCAGAGTGATTATGAATCTTTTTTCAAAGTGCTTGGGAGCCATTTCAGAATCATAGCAATGGATACAGCCCTAATACACACTCCTAAGAATTTCTACAGAATTATCATTGAAATGCTGTTAAAAGTTCAAATATTTTGATTTGAAAATATATCACGTACTGATACTGTTGTCCAGAAGCAGCCATAACTATTGTAACTATTTCTAACCGGAAGCACGATAACTATGTATACACATGTGTATTACAAACAGCACATAAATACCCACCCACATAAAGGATGCCTGTGATATGCTGTGTCATCTGTATGGACTTACAAATGAAATTGTATTATTCCCTAGAAGAGAGGCAAATTATGTTTTGGGCATACTGCCTGACCTCACAAAGAAGGTAGCACTTTGGGTCATTTACATAAGCTTCGAAAGAAATCAAAGTGTATGAACTCAAGAAACCTGAATGCTATACTTGTGATTTAAGAAACTGATCCCAACTTTAAAAACAAAACACACAGGTCAGGTGTGATGGCACCCACCTGTAATCCCAGCACGAAAGAGGCTAAGGAGAATCCTGAGTTCAAAGCCAGCCGGAGCCACATAGCAAAAACTTGTCTAAAAAGTTCTGCTTTGGAAAGACTATTTGCTTAGGCTCAATTTGAAACCTAAGTATTGTAAAGAATCTTTCACAATCTAAAAATCCAGAGTAAGTAATTAAACAGAACTAGATGTAGGTTGCTTGAACTGCTTAAATCATTTTTCAAACATACAGTAACTTGACATTTTAAAGCAATTATAATTACTTTCCAAAGAAATGCTAGGGTGCCTTCAAAAGCTGCAGTCACTGAAAGAATAGTATCTTTTGTCATCAAATACAAGATCAACACTGTCATATAATTTTTAAAGTTCCTTAAGAAATTGTCCATGTGGGAAGGGGGATAAAAAGAAACAAAACAAGCTATTAAATGAAAGAAGTTATTTAGAAAAACTGTCTCCTCTACCTAAGCCTTACAGAAAAGGGGCGGGGGAGGGCAAAAAATGCAACCCTTTGCTGGCTTCAGATACAGTCACCGAAAACCAACGGGTGGGGTGGGGAGAAGCAAGGAGAGCGCACAGGTAATTTTAAAAGGCATTGTCTAGAAACCAGAAATAAGGAGAAAACAACCTCAATGCTCTGATTACCCAAGAACGGGTTTAGCCAGATGAGCAAGTTGGGTACAATCCTTCCCCGGGCATTTGAAAGACTATCAAACAAAACTTTATTAAACCAGATTATACGGTCTCACCCATTAGATGCTGGGGGCCATAATGTTTATGATCAGGTGAAAAAGTTGATGTCTGAGATTCAAACTAGGCCTGGGTCCTCCTCTTTCATTTGTTTTTATTAGTTAGTGCGGGCATTGTTAAGACAACCCACTATTAAATTTCTTTGCCAGCAAGTCAAGTTCCAGAATCCCAGGTACAAGCATTCAGAGCACTAAACCCCGACAAGGGTTGAAAGGCTATTTAGATATGGCCTGACTACATCCCTGCAATAAGCAGCTGATTAACATCATTCTATGCATTTGCACTCTTCTTTTATTAGCAGACTTTAACCCCATAAAAATGTATTCCCTCCTTCCTACCTGCAGTTTCAAGGACTTCCAAGAGAAAAAAACTTCAGGTAAAAACTCATTTTTAGTATTTCCTTAATAGAACATATGACCTGCAAGAGAATATTTTACGGTTTCTATATGGACTATTTTCCTGGCACTTGTCATTTGTATTTAGAAAACTTTAGGTGGAAGTTTTTATTCTACACTTTCATTCTTTTGTGGGTGCTTAACTGAAAAACTGTCTGAAAACATAATTTCTGCCTTGGGTTGCTTATATAGATCTTTCCTTTTATATACTCAATTTGTCTACATCTAACACACTCAGGCCAAAACAACCCTATAGATAACTGCAGGAGATAACTTTTCTTTAAAAAGCAGTTTCTCAAAAAGCCCTGGTATTGGCACCACTGTGCCAATACTATTTATTCTGGGTTTAATAGATAGTGTTTATCATTGCGATATCAAGCAATACTTCCTCACATGCATACAAAATGTCTGCAACCATATTCCTCTTAGGGCTCTATCTCAGCACTGACCTTTGCGCAAAGACTTTTACTTTTTAATGCAGCAGTTAGAGATAACTACTTCATTTATCAAAACTCAATTTCCATAGTAACATCTAGCCTGGGGAGATACAAGTCCTCACACTAATCCAACAACCCATTCAAAGGAACTGCTGAATATTTTGGTTTCCATAGCAATGATGGAATAATACATTTTGCTAGGTCACTGCTTTTATTAGCAAACTTATTCTTTGAACTTTAGCTAAGGCTGTATTTATTGAGGAAAAAAGTATAATCACTTTATATAAGTTCTTCCCCTTAGGGCTATTCTCTAAAGAAAATTACAAATAGTATCCATCTATATATTCGAAAACATCATGGGTATGTAGAGGCTTTTTAAATAAAGTGTGCTACCTAGTTGCATCCTAAAATGGGTTCTGAAAGAAAGTTTTAAAATTAAAAAACTCCTAAAAGATTGCTATGGATTTAACAAAACAAATATTTACAAAATTAAGGGGGCTAAATTTAAAGTTTTGAACAAGGATGAATTATAAACTAGAATACAGATATAGCCTCTCAAATATATCAAATATAGGCTGGGGCAGAATATAGAATAACTTAAACCATGACCTATTTTTCACCACCCAATTTTAATACTCCTCAATTTTAGGCCTGCCTTTCACCTGGCACAGCAAACATATCAAACATAACTATTTTAAACAGGGGAACTAAAGATAATGTATTAAGCAGTTATACTGTACATGCTAAATGTAAAAGTTTTTAGTTTAAAATGGCTTTTTTGAAGCAATATGATTTACTATGGAGGAAGAAATATTTTTTTCTTTCCAGACAGGACTAGCATCACTAGTAAAGGTTTTTAAAAGTCCATTAGTAAACACTGTTGTTTGTTTTTGGGCGTGCCAATTAATTCATTGTGAGGTGACAGGACAAGCCCTCCGTAAGCAAAAATCAGCCTTCCGGAAACCAAACTTTCTCAAGGAACTCCATTTTGAGCCAAGCCAGTGCTGAAAAGGTAGGCCATTAAAAAATAAAAGTTGACACAAGAAAGAAGAGATCAAACATGTGCTGGCTTTTAAAAAGGATGAATACCACTTACACTATTTACACAACTCACAGAATTAACAAGAAAATTACATACCAGTATGAGTTCTCAGGTGAGCTTTTAAATGAGAAGACTTTGTATAAACTTTTGTGCAACCTAAAATAAAGAGAGAGGGGAAGACTGGCTCGTCATTCAGATCCTTTTGAAATCTTTACATTTGATGATTCAGTTTAAAATCTGGCTTTACAGAAGAAATTTCATGCTAGATGAAATATTTGAAGCTTCAGTCTTAAAAATATTAAGGAGCTCCCCCCATTATCTGATTGAAGGCATAAAGTGATTTGTTTCAAGGATCACTTAGAAGGAAAGAATACAGGTAATTGAGCCAAGGGACAAATGGAAAATCTGTATTTATATTCCAGTAGGTTCTTTTTACTAACTAGTAATACATACTTCAGTGATTTAAGAGCTACTATATGTTTTTACTTTTAATGGAAGTCGAGCTGACAATACTAGACCATTATCCATGATGACTATAATTTTCTGTACACCTACATTTCTTGGTTTTCATTTAACATGTCATGCCATATCATGTACCACTGTCAATAGATCTTGCCCTGTATTAATCATAAAGCAGCTTACACCAGCAATTTGGAGATAGATTTGTTACCGTCATCAATTTATATTTTAGGTCACGTATCTCATGAATGAGTATACACTATCAGAACCGTTGTTAAATCTGTCCTGTGGACAGTCTTGTACCTATGGTACCAACAGTCTCTTTCTACAGCACTTCATTTAGGATGAGATTAAAGTAACAAACTAAATGAAATTAAAATTTTAATATCAAAGAGGAAACAGACCAAGGTAACTTTTCCCCAGAATGTTCTAGCCATTTTTTCAATACATAAAATAAGTAAAATAGAGGAAATGCTTCATTACCTACTGGATAAAGCACAGAAACATGATATGAGAAGAAAATAAGTGACTTATTTTCAACTGTCAAGTACAACTTTCCTATGTAAATTTTTTTTTTTTTTTTGTGGTACCGGAGATCGAACTCAGGTCCTTGTGCTTGTGCAGCAGGTGGTGAAACCACTGAGCTAAATCCCCAGCCCTTTCCTATGTAAATTTAAAGGCTGGGGTTGGGAGAGGAGCAAGCACACATGCACACACATGCAGACACTGTGGATGCTTCAACCAAGGAGGAACACATACCAGGATAATCGCAGTAGTGGATGCGGCGTTTCTCCAAATCAGGGTTACTCCTTCTATTGTATCTGACAGGTTGGATGTTCTGCGAGTTAACTGGCAGACTGGCAGGTAAATTTGGATTGTGGATTGCCAGTTTAGAAGCAATTGTAGCAGCATAGGATGGAGGTGGGGTTAGATTCTGGAGCATCTCTGCTTGTCTATCGGGACTTCCAGGCTCTGAGCTTGGTGGTGACGGGGGAAAGTAAGTGGCCTGCTGGGGAAGGAACTGACTTGGCATTGTGTATGTGCAAGGGGGCATGCCCTGGAACTGCTTCACCGCAGGCTGCGGAACAGCGGAGGTGTGTGTGGTAAGGCCTGCCATGGCGGCTGACATAGAGACATTAAGGGTGTCCATTACCGCTGTCTGGTTTGTAGAACTGGGCATGTCTAGATCCGGGGTGTTCAGTAGCTGGTACAGGTGGCCCTGTTGGGGAGGGACAGAAAGATGCAGATCTGGTGTAGGAAGTTCTTGTTTGATGAAAATATTGTTCACCTCTGGAGCTGCGGTCTGGTGTGAGGTGAATATGCTGTTGAACTCGGGGAGGGCCTGGGTCGGGGCCGGAGGAGGGGCAGTCGTTTCACTCTGGTGGCTGAAAATGGCAACAGGTTCTGTCTTGATGTGTGTTACGCACGGTCTCTGGGATTTGTAGAGGCCAGTTCTCAGGTGAGTGATGTCAGGGAGGAAGACGTTCATGTTGATACTGTAAGGTAACCCTTCACTGTCAGTGAAGAACTGGTCTACGACTGAGGCACTGTCTCGTCTATACTTTTTATGCTCTGGAATTATTGGAACTGGAGGAAGCTGGGGTGTCAGATACTTCTCCATTTCACATCTTGTCTAAAAAAGAAGAGATACAAACATGCATGATCTACCTGACACATCTCAGAAAGAACAAACAAAAAAATTCCCCTAACAAGCCCTGTGTAAAGTACTAGGGCAAACTCCTAGGTGTTACTTGTAAACATACCATGTTTATTTTGTCAACTGTATAATTATTGGTTCACAAAAAGCCTATGAAAGTCTCCATAATGTCTTTGATAAAACTGCTCCCCAAATCTAGCCATGAGAGGCAAATCAAGGGGGAAAAAAGGAAAGAAAACAAGATGTATTCTTTTCTGATGCAATAATACAGTATTACCCCCTACAAGCAATCAAGTTTACAATTAAGAGTACAGTATCAAAAAAAGAGTACAGTATCAAAGTATTGCCAAAGTACCTCAATTCTGCTCAGTTAAATTTAACATCTTTTAAAAAAAATTTTTAAATTGTGCAAGCCTTTAAAAAGGTTTTTGGTTTGGTCTGGTTTTTTTTTTTTTTTGTCTTGGCTAGGTATTTCCGAAATAGCTAATATAAAATATTCTTTGGCGATTTCAGTGGGGACTTCTGTTTACAGTTCAATGGAAACTTAAAATACAATGTTTTGAGCAAAACATAGCATCCACTGAAACAAAACCATTTCATAGTCGACATTTGATCTAAATGTCGATTTAATCAGCAGATTCGGTAATTGGTTAATATGATAATGAAATGTTCCTATTCATATCCCTATCTAAAACAGATCTTTAATTACCTAAGGGAAAATCACTCCCTCGGTAGACCGGTGCTAAGGAGCCTGTGGGTGGGGAGAGGCTGCTGTATTGCTGGCACAGTCACCAGCAAAACATTTATCATGTCCTTCTCAGTGGGCCAATGCCACATTCCCCCTTACTCTGTAAAACGCTCAGTCATCCCTATCCTCTGGTGTTTCCGAAGCAGAAAATTACCAAATTGAAATAACTGAACAGCTCTCAAACAGCGAGTTTTCTTTTTGAGAACACAGGGCAGCTTGTAACATGTCGCCTCAATCTTTTTAAAGCTATCTTGTCTCCTACTATAACAGGCTTAATTTTTCTCTTAATTCTTAACACAGAAAGGGAAATTTCAAAAAGAAAAACAAAACCCCAGTATACGGAATGGCTCACATAACTATTAATCTGGCACTCTGATCAGCGAATACTGCAGTCAGATTGTATTTTGCTACTAAATTTCAAAAGCGTTTACTCCGGGACCTCAAACCATTCAGACTGTACTGTGTGGATGAGGACAGGATTTCCCGGATGGACACGATTTAAAAATACAAATTAACGCTGTAGTCCTGTGAGTCACATCTCTGACAAACGCCACTGTCCTCCCGGGCCCGGCGGCACTAGCAGACCTCTCGGGGTAGGTGATGGGTAGCGAATACACAATATACCAGCCGCTGCTAAATGGGGCGTCTTGAAATAAACCGAACCAAACCCTTTCGCGCAGTGCGCTCCCGTGGCGGTTAGTGGTTTCTGATTTTAGCTCTTCCAGCTGTTTGCATGTGGGTATGTTTCCAATTTTTTTTTTCCTTGGGACAAGCTAAAAGTCCCGGGAAGTTTTTTCTGGGCTATATGACTCCGTGCGTGGGCGAAAGAAACAGGCGGTTGCTCTAATTCGGCTGCCGGGCAAGTGTAAAAGCCAACTGCCAGCTCTCTGCGCGGCTCGGGAGATTTAAGCGCACGCGAAGAAAACAACACCCTCGGCCTTTTTTCGTCTTTCTTTTCAAGGCAAAAGCAAGCGCCCCAATAGAGCCGTAGTACTCCTAATCTGCTCGTTTCCCAAACGCGGCCCCGCGATCGCTTCTAAAGCAAAGGGAGCCCCGGAGTATGCACCCCGAAGACCCAGCACCTCAACCTGCTCCGCACCAAACCCGAGACGAGGGGAGGGGCTCCCAGGGCCCTGGAGGGACAGAAGGGCGACGACGGCGCGGGAGGCTTTACTGGAACGAGCACAGGGCTCATCCCTCAGTGCGGGAGCGCCCGGCCCCCATCTGCTCCCCTCTGAGCGCCGTGCCCTGGCGGCAGCCAAGGCAAGGCAGGGCAGGGCAGGGCAGGGCGGGGCGGGGCCCCCGTTGCGCGGTCCCCGTGCGCCCCGACGCGCGCCGGCCTGGAGCGGCCCCTGTCGCCCGCGCGCTGCAGCGGCGGCGGCGGCGGCGGCGGCGGGACCCACCCGGGCGGGAGGCGGCGACGGGAACCTACCTGGACCAGCTCCTCCGGGGGCAGCCGCGGGCCGGCGGCGGGCGGCTGCGGGGGCGCGGGTGGCGCCGGCGCGTGGTGGTGCGGGTGCTTCAGCTCCTCGCCGGGGAAGAGGGCCGCGTCGCGGGCCGGGTTCGCGGCGCCCAGCACGGGCTTGAGCTGCGCGAACACGGGCTCGTCCTGTGAAGCTGGCGGCTGGGGCGCGGGGCCCAGGCGGGCGCTCATGGTCAGCACCCGCGTGGCCATGGGGATCCTCGGGGGGGCGGCTCCGGGCGCGGGGCGCGGGGTGGGCGCGCTCTCCACCTGGCCCACGCTGGCTGGGGCCGGCGAGCTCGGCGCGGGGCCGCGGGCGGAGGCGAGGAGGCTCCGGGGAGACCCGGAGACCAACGGCAGTCAGTGTTCGAAGGCGCGGACCCAAAGCAAAACTCTTCCGCCCCGCCGCGCGTCAGAGCCAGTGTCCTCCCGGCGGCCACTTTCTCCTGCCCCGCCCCAGCGCGCGCTCTCCCTCGCCGGAGTCCGCTCCCGCCAGCGCCGAACCCCACTAGCGAGCCGCGAGCGCACGTACCTGCCCCGCGACTACTGACACTTGACGCCCGCTTCTATTTCACCCAACTCTGGGGGGGGCGGGACCCGCCCGCCCGAGCGACGGCGCCGCCACCAATCCGGAGGCCCCGAGGCCCGTAGGCCCGAAAAGGCCAGCCTATGAGAAGAGAGAAGTTCACCCAGGGCTCCGCCCCCGCCAGGCCGACCGCACCCCTCGGGCCACGAGCTTCGCGCGCAGGGCGGCCGCGCAGTTTGTACACAAGTTCTCTGACAGATCGGGCTGACGGAGCCGGAGGCGGAGGGAAGGAGGGCAGCGGATGGAATCTAGGAAGAGGGGGAACGAGGGTGGAGACGCGGGGGGAGATCTCTTCGGACTGTTCCCTGCCGGGATTAGGGAGAAAAAGAGTATTGCACGTCTTAGGTGTTGTGCAAGGACCTGAAACTCAGAAGCTGAAACCCATAAGGGAGCTAGCTAGGTGGGGGCGCCAAGGTTTTTAGCTGTTGGTTTAATTAGCGTGTATTTTTAAATATGCCAAATGTACTTTTCTTCAGCTGAAAACTAGGGGCAGTGTGATAAACAAATTTAAAACAGCTCTTGTCTCTATGTATCTTCAGCAGTGAGTGTACCCATGTAGCAAAGCAAATTCGGTGTGCCCTGGATAAAAGGTTTGGTGGCATTTTTCTAAATCCTTGCATACAAGCCTGGCCCCCACCCCACCCCTTCAGTATTTAAGCAACTAGAAGTTTTCACACTCCATCCACTTTTCATGGGGGGGCCGGGGGGATCTTGAAGTTTTTAATATTTAAACCATGTCGATTCTAGCCAAAGCGTGGAATCTAATTTAAGCACTAACAACTAGCACAAATGTGTACTTAAATAGACATTACATCTTTGACTTATTTTTTGCTAGCACTGTATGTTCGGGAAAATGGAGTTTAACGCTATTTACAAAAGAGAAACAGCACGTTTACCTAGTACCGCGACACCTTTTCCTACGAAAAGACAACCAAGGAAGCCAGCAAACATTAGACTGCAGCACCTTTGAAATTTAGGAATCCAAATTTGTAGGAAAGTAATAGGTAAATATATTACCGTCCACTTACTATGTTGTTATAATGGGAGGGTGAATTTTTGCCAGCAATCACCAAAGGAAATCACTTTCCTTAATCTTTAATGTTCTTGTACATGATTTTATCTGGCTTATTGGGAAGTTGGAACAATAAACTGCAATAAAAATGCCTGTAATATTGCTACATATGTACATATGTTGACAGCATACCATACCATTAGACATTGTAAGGCAGCTTCCTCCCTACTTCAATGAAACAGCTTTTCAAAAGGTTTTAACAAAAAGTTCCTTTCAAAGAGTACATTTGTCAAAGTTATACATAGGTCTCATTTGCCATGTGGATGAGTTAATATGCACAAAATATTACATATATTTACTTTAGAAAAGGTAAAATTACTTTGTAAACTAGATTTTTTTTTCTCCTTTTCCTTCCCTTCCTGTTCGTACATGATTCATTTTTATAGCTGTGATCGCTGCTCTCAGAGAACGGTTGATGACTATGTTCGTTACCAATTTATTTCATAAATATCTTTGCAAATTTTTTTCTAAGTAAACACTCATGCTGTCCATTTTCATCTTTAAAAAGTGAGCCCAATTTTCTCTAATATTAAATCCAATCATGTAATTAAACAGCTTAAAAACAGGTTCTAGAATTGGTATGAGGTTTAACATAGCTTTTTTAAAAAATTGACCTTTCAAAGACTGTTAATGCTGATACGATCACTTGATCATGAAATATAGAGATTCTTAATAGAACTTTTGTGCTGTTTTAACTTTAAACCTCAGAGTTAGCACAACTTGGTACCTATCTGTATTTTAATTTGCTTTGCTTTTAAGTTAGTTTGCTTTTAAATAATTGGCTATTTTGACCTTTCCTTTGTGTTTCTTTTTACCTCAGCTTCAGTTGCCGGTATTTCCACCTAAATTTTTACTGCAATGAGATCCATTTCTTTCCCTGGAAATGCTTCTAAATTTCACACCAGTTTTTGACATGCTTTCATTTACAAAAGCTGTGCGTTGTAAAAACAAAGCAAAACAAAAACCCACACAACTATTTGATAAGCTTTTAATGACATTTTTATAGTCTTGTTAATTTTTTTCACGTTTCCATTTTTCCTAAATGAACACAGATATGAACCTGGCTGTGGTTGGTTGGGCCTTCACAGCTAATGCATTTACAGTTTTTAAAAATCTAAATATATTCTCTCTTTTTAGTCAACTACAGCAGATTTATTTAAATTTCATTTCTGGCATAAAGACTCATGAAATAGGGCTGCCACTTTTAAGCAACGGTTTTGCTGAAATATCCAGCTCTGCAATCTCACAGAAAATAACTAGTTTAGTCCTGTACAATTGCATGGAAATTGGAAAGTAATCCTTTTCTGAGATGTTCGCCATGCGGTTCTGGACATATAAAGAACACGTTCAACCAAGCCCCCTTGCTGTTGCTCTTCACACGAATGTTACAGCTACAAACCTGCTTCACTGACTTAGCAAAAAGGGTTAAAACTTGATAAATATTTTTCAAATGTTCCAGGTTCTATGTTGGCGTGAAGCCAGACAGTGTGAATGGACAGATCCTCAATTACTTTGAACTTTCTAGTTCTTTGCATTCCTTCCTGCTTAGTAGTGCTGTACCATTAGGGAAGATGGGAGAAAACAAAAAACAAATGTCAGGTTTCAGAAATCAATTAGTGGCCTGGCAGTGGTGTGTGAACTGAGCTGAGCCAAAACAGGGGATTCTGTGGGGAAGAAATAAAAATGTCGAGTAGTCAAGTTAGGTAGGAGGCTAAGCAAGCGTAGAAGCAGTGTGCATGCTTAAGTCCTTAGTCACTGGCGACACAGATTTAGTCTTAGAATAAACCCTAAGTGTCACTATCTTTACGGGAATAAATACCCCTGAATGTGTGGGGGCTGAACCGGCATCCAGCCACGGGGTGGGGGTTGAAGGAGGCAGTGGAAAAAATAGATAAATAGCTTCTGAATGATGAGATGCGGCAAGTATGAGGCAATCACTAGGGCAATGTTCACTCAAGGCTCGGCAAAAGCAACGTCGATAGTCAGTTGTCAAAAACATCAGGGAGAGCCTGAGAGTAGGAGATCTGGGGTAACACAGCCAGCTAAATCTCATTCACTTTGACTGGGAGAATAACCACACCGTGTTTCATTTCTGGACAATCAGAATTAAACTCCCAGGTGACACTCGGCCACAAAAGAGCCCAAGACTGAGGAGAAATAATTTTTGATAATGGAGTGTACTCTTCTCTGGGGTAAGATGATTTAATTAAAAGTAACTTTTATATTTCCTGAGGGTCCACCCTCGGTAAGAATCTGAGTCAGTGGGAACAAGGTAATTATTGTCCTCTAAAATATTTCCCGTCTGTAATCTTTTTTATTTTTCATTAATAACAAACTACTTGTAGTCACGCATGAAAAAAAAAGTCATTGAGAAAAATAACACAATAAATAGAAGCTTCTATTAAGATTAGTCAGAATTTGAAGCATTTTGATTCAAAAGATTAAGAGATGGGAGAAAATACGCTCTGTTCATTCCCTTGTGATGAAAAATATGTAATTTAAGTATGCAATTAAAATATTTAATTTTACTATATCTCATTTTTTGAATAAACTGAAAAGATGCCTTAATAAGAAAACAACTCAATTTCTATTTTTGTACTGTCTCTTAAAAAATAAATTTTATGTATAACTTTGAATTTAAATGTGTTCTTCATGAACTATTTCATAAAGCTCCCATTATGCACTTATTCCTAAATGCACTGTAATTTATCTAGTCTAATCTTAAATAATAATATACCAAAAAAGTACAGTTTTACCTTTTGGGAAGCCGGAGATTGCTTTTTTCACTTTGTTAATGTAAAAAGCAGACAAAAATGACATCAATATAAATGCCTTGAACTGTTACAGACCAGGTGTGCAGCAGTTTAAACTGAGCAATATTTGAATTCTGACTCTGAACCTGATAAGAAAGGTGAAGAGAAAAACCCTGAACGGAAGCTCTCAGAACAGTGGGAAGGGCGCATCAGCCGCATCACAATCAGCGGCGCCTGAGCCAATCGCTGTCCGCAGTCTGACAAGCTGCAAGGGCTCCTCCAGGCTGTGGGGTACAAACTGCGAACACCCAGGGAACCGCGCAGGGATCAGGGAAACACCCTGCTAGGCACTGATTCATAAAAGAAATGCGTAAAAGTAGTGCTAGATCCCATACCGTTCTTCGTGGCTTCACTCCATACACTGCTGTTGGTTGCGTAAACTTATACAGCTTTTAGGGAAGACAATTTGATAAGTATGAAGAAAGCTAACAATATACATAACCTTGAAAATGATGAGCCAAGTGTGGTGGTGCACACCCGTAAACCCACCACTTGGGAGGCTGAGGCAGGAAGACCTCGAGTTCAAAGCCAGCCTGGGCAACAGAGAGAGTTCAAGGACAGCTTGAACTACATAGCTAGCCAGACCCTAAAACAAAACAAAAATAAATAGAAAGTAAACTGATTCTCCTTCTAGGAAACATATAAATATATATTTATATAGAAAATAACCTAGGTCTCCAACAATAGAGGAGTAGTTAAACACGTACATACCATAGCTACCGTTCTGCTGCCAACAATTATATTATCTAAAAAATACTTAGTGACATGGAAGAAACACTTGTGATACGTGAAGCCAAAGACAGGGGGTTTATAAACATGCACCCTCAAAGATGAAAAGAATATTCAAGAATGTATTTTGGTGGCTATCATTGGATGGCCAAATCAGGAGTAGTTTTTCATTTCTTTGTACTTTTCAGTATTGTTAAATTTTCTAAAATTGCTATGTAATTCCATTTTTAATCCCTATGTATATATCAAATATATCTGTCTATATTTCTAACTGTATCTATCCATCTTGCTGTACCATGTATTGAACCTAGGACCATAGTACTGAG